TGAAATACTTCCAGCCTGGCTTTTCTCACAAATATAAAAAAAAAATCCACTTAGTACAGTAGGGGGTCCTCGTTATAAGTGGTTAATTGGGACCAGAAAAAAGCCACTGATAATGAAACCACTTTTAAATGGGAATTAATTCCCATAAGAATTAATAGGAATATAGTCTAATCGGGACCAACACATTGTAAGTGACGGGGTGCTGGTGGTAGAGTGGTACCGCTCTTGCCTTCGCAAGCGAGATGTCACGGGTTCGATTCCCGGGCCGGTGGAAGTTGTTTGGACATACTTCCTAGCCCCCATTAGTCCCTGTTCACTTAGCAGTAAAGTAGGTGCCTGGTGTAAATCGAAAGTTGCGAATTCGTATTCAGGGACAAGTTGTTGGAGCTTCCAATAACTTGATGACATAAAAACCATTGAATCTTCAGGCTTCTATGCCCTTGACTCTTCAGGCTTCTACACCCTTAACTCATGAGACATAAAGGCAAGCATGAACTTAGCATGCTTCCCTGTTGGGCATTTTAAACGCTTCTGCGCTTCACCTTACACAAGGATGTAGGGGAGTACCCAATAAAAAAAAAAAAAAAAAAAAAGTGTAAGTGTCACTCATGAAGTTTATTTTGATATCTTTTAACATTTATATAAACCTTAGATATATTTGTTAAACATTTGATTACACATTATTTAATGAAATTATTTAACTTTCTTAAAACCGTTTGGGGTTGATAAGTTGATGCAGCACAAGCTACCTAACCACGCACTCGCACGCATATTCAGTGTAATTGGTTCATTGACACGCTCACCACTTTTCTTACGACATGTTACTTCAAATTTCATGTTCATCCCATCGGTACTACCCTTCATTTTGGCCACTACACCACCTTGCTTGGTTTGGAATTGAAGGTTACAAAAATATAGTCCACCAATGTCAAAGTTGATAATTATTGTTTTTGGAGCACTTCAAAATTTTGCCTGTGGACACAGGCGACTGGTACTGACCATGCATAGAACGGGTGAGAAGGATGAACTTTAAGAGAATGGGAGGCTGGCGGGAATTTCAATCACTCAATGCTTGTGCTCCCAAAGAGACTAATTTTAGCCTTAGAATCCTCTTAACTTCGGTGACGTTTTACATGTTGGTCCACAATTATTTGACCGCTTAAGTGCAAAACCACTTAAAATGAAGACACGTATAATGACCCCTTGTATAGGAAAATGTTATTAATTTAGGTTGCCATGAAATAAAAAAGTGAAGTAAAAGTCATGGAATAATCCAAGGCATTGTTCCTTTACTTATACAGTACATACTAATAATATTACTTAGTAGCACCTCACTATTCTTTTACTTATACTAGGGGTGGCCAACCTTTTGTATGATGTGATCTACTTTTTCCAGTTACCCTGATGCGATCTACCAGCCTAATATTCACCCATAACGGCCCCACCATTGCCGTAAAATATGCAGAGTTGTTCGTTAACCGAAAATTTTGTTAACCGAATCCATTATTTCAATGGGATATTGGGTAATTGGTTCCAGCTCACAGAAAAGTACATACAAAATAAAGCCAAAAATGCATAAGTCAAAAACACTCCTAAAATTCCCCTAAATCGCCCTTAAAAAAAAAAAAAAAAAAAAAAAAAATATATATATATATATATATATATATATATATATATATATATATATATATATATATATATATATATATATATATATATATATATATATATATATATATATATATATATATATATATATATATATATATATATATATATATATATATATATATACAGTTGTACCCCACTTAACGCGGTCAATTGAACCCAGAGGGTCCCGGGTTAAGTGAAAACCGCGTTAAGTGAATAACAGAACATATGGGATTAATTCCAATAGAACCCAGCCCGACCCCCAAACTCCACTTTTTGACGACAAATAACTATGTTGTAGTAAAAATAACATCTTAATTTTATGATGGTACATGCACACAATTAATACTTAAGAGAAATAGAGAAATACAGTCGCCAAGTTAATGTCCATTCAAATAATGGACTCAACTCCCTCCCCCTCTTCTCACACTACACTCACTGGCTCTTCCCTCTGAGAAATTTTTGGGGGAAAACCAGGTATAGTAATAAATAATTCCTCAAACTAAAGTTAGGATAATATAATTGACATTGCTGGATTCCTTGTAAGACCAGGAATATTTTGAATATAAATGTCATATATTTTTCACAAAAGATAACATATTTACTCAGAATAAACTTTACATCTAAAATTTGTATGTCTAATGCAAAATCTATGATGTTTATATTCAAAATGATCAGCAAATTGTAAGAATTCCAGCAATGTAAATTATATTCTGGCCGGATAATTTGTATGAATTTTATGAGCTAAAACAAATATCTTCAGTTAATAAAAAAAAAAAAAATATTCTTCCACACTATCTGTCAATCAAAGTACCCCACCTTGCCTTCCCCCCCTCTTCCAACCGCGTGGTCAGTCCCAACCCTCCCCCCACCCCCCACCAATCCTCCATTCAAGAGTTTTTAACATTTAGTATTAAATAATACCTCAGATTAAAGTTAGGATAATATAATTGACATTGCTGGATTCCTTGTAAGACCAGGAATATTTTGAATATAAATGTCATATATTTTGGACAAAAGATAACATAATTACCTAGAGAACAATTTTTATCTAAAAATTGTATGTTTAATGCAAAATATATGTTGTTTATATTCAAAATGATCACCAAATTATAAGAATTCCAGCAATGTAAATTATATTCTGGCTGGGTAATTTGTATGAATTTTATGAGCTAAAACAGGCAGTCAGGCAGGGTGGCGGGTGGGGGGTGGTGCGAATCTAAAAATAGCTCTGGAGCCGGACACTCACCGCGTATATGATGAAAAATGCCGCGTTAAGTGAAAGTTCAGCTTTGGCAAGGCACCGCGTATATGCGAAAACGCGTTAAGTAAAGCGCGTTAGCGGGTAAAATATATATATATATATATATATATATATATATATATATATATATATATATATATATATATATATATATATATATATATATATATATATATATATATATATATATATATATATATATATTTTGTAAAGGCCTGGGACTTAAGGATAGATCCCTTACCAGCCTAATCAGGATCTTATAAAAGGAAAGTCAAGAACCATGGTTTTCTGAGGAATATCAAACAACCGTTCGAGATTGACGTCTCTTTACTATAAAAATAACACAAAACTCTGACACCACTCAAACAAACATCAAATCACAAATACGGGAGTCAAACAATTAATGGGAGTCACCAATTAATGGAATCAAATAATTTAGAGAATCAAACAATTAATGGGAGTCAGCAATTAATGGAATCAAACAAACAAGAGAATCAAACAATGAACAGATATTTCCTACGGCAGCGGCCCTGGGGATGTCAAGTCAGGCTTCCTCACTCGAGCGACGGCAGCCGATGTCTTGCTACAGCAGGAGAAACACCGGGACACAGACGGTGGAGAGGAACTGGCGATGACGTGGCAGCCACGGTAGTCGATGGGGTAGATGTCCGGAGATTGACAGTCGATTTGTGAAGGTCTGGGGAAACAGCCCACGAGTTCAGGACTTATGATGAGATCACAGCCGGAATTTGACGACCAGCGGGGAGGTATGACTATTGACGGCTGGGTAGAATCTGCCAGTGATACGAGGCAGCAGCGACCTTCTCACCTCCGTCTAACCCCTTAGTGGGGGTCGCGATCCGGCAAACGAGCGTCGGACAACCTTTCTGCTCATTACCGCCCTTACACAGCTCCCCCAACAAAAATCTACTGAAAGGTAGATTAAAACTTAAGATTAGTACACAAAGCATAATCATCTTACAACAAATGCTTAAATACACATAGCAAAATAAAGAAGGGTCACATAAAAGAATAGGTGGAAACTTGATGTCCAAAACGTAAGGCCATATCAAAGCACTGCACGTGGGATCCACTTTAGTCCAGATTTAAGTTTGGGCCAATTTCCAGTTCATAGAGGATTCTTCTATCTCGTCAGGTGTTATCAGTAACTGGCAACCGAGATCATCCGAGTCTAGCACCTGTACATCACAGGAACTCTTGCAGGGTAGTGCCTCGACTAACTCCAGCTTGGGAACGTCGTCAAGGATACGAGCAATGTGGGACCTGCAATTATATTTCCTCAACAAATTAGTTAGATGTACTTTTGGCTTCTTAGAGGAAGGGGGTGAGAACGGTCCAACAAAATCTATGGCTACCCGAGAAAATGGTTCTGTAATGATGGGTAAGAATTCAAGTGGAACAGGACGGAGTCTAGCCTTGGCGGACATACGTGGGCACTGATCACAACTCCTACAAAAAGTTCTAATATCCGCTCCCATACCTGTCCAGTAAAACTGATCAGTAACCTTCCAATAAGTTTTCCTATGAGAACAGTGTCTTGCTAGAGGGCTCTTGTGTGTGTCATGGAGGAACTGAACCCTATTTTTCACCAATTTTCTTCTATTTGCTATGCAAAACCTCACCTAATGAATGATTTTTCAGGAACCTAACCCATTCATATATCAAGAGGTACCAGTATCCAAGTTTTTTATTTTTCTAATGAATAAAAAAGGAAGGGAAAGGTCAGACAAATGTAATTGTCAAATCTATTCACTAGTCATCCCCTTTCCAAAGACTTAAATTTGCTTGAGGCAGGACAATTTTATGTGATTGAGATTAAATGACATGGGAAAACACTCACTGGCAAGGAGTTCCACAGAAGTCTAGTCCAGTAGGCAGGGGTTCTGCAGAATGGAATTTCAGTGGAAAAGTCATAGGTCCTCCCAGATGCCCTCATGAGTCAAATGGATGTGTGTGATAGTGGCATTTTTTAGTGTAGTTCATCAAAATGCTTTTCATATATACAGTATGCTTTAACTTTGGCAATAATATGTAAAACATAATTAATACTGATGCTGTGTTCCAGGTGTACTTACAGCAACTGATTGTGTTGTGCAGTGAGTTGGAAGGATCCCCTCTGTGTGGTGCTGCTCCATCCCGTACTACCTTGGCTTACTTCTCACCGTTTTTTCAACGAGGAGTATTTGAAGCTTCCAGACATACTACAAGCTAGTTTTTAAACTAAAGTAATCTCATTGACATGTTAAAAGTTAATACTGGCTTCTCCATTGAGAATCAGTGACAGATATTAGAAGCAATTTTTAGAAGGAAGGAATGAGAATTGAATTGTGTACAGAAATCATAAGAATGTAAGCAAGTTCAGTAGACTTAAAATTTCTGTGTGTATAAAATGTATCCATAGACATTTGTGTAAGGTCAGTATCCATTACTATAGAATCAACAAAATGAAAAAAAATCAAGGTTCAGTACAACCTTGGAAATCCGGAAATGCTGGCACTAAGAGCACGACACATTTGTGAATTTCCTACTTTCTTAACAGAGCCACTTTCCCTTATTCAAAGACATATGCACAGACTCAAAAAAATAAATATACTATGTGTGTATATATATATATATATATATATATATATATATATATATATATATATATATATATATATATATATATATATATATATATATATATATATATATATATATATATATATATATATATATTTATATATTGAAGTTCCTGGATCGTTTTACAATTCATTTTAGGAATGCACAGCTGTTAGGCAGAATTTCCTTGTAATACTCGCACACAGTATTGGTTAATACTTACCATACCACCATGCTAGAACAATGTTGAAAGATTTAGATATATGATTATTGTATAAGTTGAATAGAAATATTAAATTTTGCAATTTGTAAACAAATGAGCATAAACCATTACTGTATGTTGACAATGAACCAACCAATCAAACCTGTCTTATTGATCTGCCATTATTTTTAAATTATACTAGGAGTATTGGGTTTATTTTGTCATATAACTGATTTATGTTCTCTTTTTTTACAGAACAAATTACATATTATTTTAGCTAGGTGTTTTATTGTTTGTAGGAAATAACCATTTCTGAGTATGAGTTTTGTAAGGAAATTCTGCCTAATGACTGTGCCATCACACATCACACTGATTGGCTGATGCCTTGCTGAAGAGTGGGATAGTGTTAGCCTGACATTCTTAAAGTTGCCAGTTCAGTTGACGAATGTTGAAGGTAACCTAAAACATTACTTTTTTTTATTAATGGATGTGATAATTTATCATTTACACAATTATGAAATAAACGAAACAAAATTAATTTCAATTCATTCCCCACTGGGGAAATTTAAATACAAAAATAACAAAAAGATAAGTGATATGACTGTCCTATGAAGGTTGGTCCACACAACCATATTTTATAACTATAACATGCCTTCCTTTTTAATTTTGAGAATTAATAAGTAAATGTTCATACCCTTTGTATTTAATTTTGAAAATTAGTAAGTATATGATCAGTAATTTATACACATATTTGGAATTCTACATACAGGTATCTCTCATTTAACAATTGGGGTGTGTTCCTGAAAAACTGATTGTTAAAGCAAAATGATTGCTAAACAAGGGATAACAAGAAATAATATCCTAAACGAGGGATAACGAGAAATAATATCAGTTGAGATTGCACTTGATTGGGTAGCCAAGCCTCGACTCACCACGCAGTAGCACTCAGACTGGATGAGGCTAAAATGTTAGCTATGTTATTGTTCAACTCATAATTTTTGGTAGATACCGTATACAGTATGTGATTTTCTTCCTTTTGTTTTCTCTGTTACATGCACACAGTCGTTCATACAGAATGTACAAAAAAATTACAAAAATATTTATCATAAGGTCAAAACATGAAGGGAATAAACATTTCTTGCATCCACGGGAGTTAGCCCACAGAGCAGGGGAAGAAGGGGTGGCGTGGGGGATCTCTCAGCTGTTCTCTGTCTCGTGTCCCATGAAACAATTTCCAAATGGCAACCTAGTATTTTATATTTTGCTTTATTTATTTTTATTTTTATTTATTCCTCACATTCACTGGTACAGTACTGTATACATGTGACACAGTTCAGTCGGGCAGTCACCAAGCTGACTTAAAAGTGTGGCTGGCCGCAGTTACAACTCACTGCCTCAATACATATGTTTACTTCCCACTTATTTTATAGTGTTATTGTATATTATCTTTATTTCTAAGCCATTTTAGAGTATTGTAATGATGCGCACTTGGAGCACAAAATCCCTAATTTTTCTGACATTTTCCCAATTAGTAGAAGATCACTAAACCGAACATTGAAGATCGTTAAATGAGAAAGGGTGTTAAGAATTTTAAAATGCTAAGTGAACAATCATTAAACGAGGGATACTACCTGTATTGATTCTGGGTGTTGGAGTAGGTGCTGCCTCATGTGAACACAACTGATAACTGTTTTCATTAAGAATGTGGGTGGTGGCATGTTCAAAATTGTTGCCTGATGATTTTTTAAAAAAATATGCTTGGGTTTTTTTCTTTAATACCTGTATTTTTTTTAGACTCCTAGATAACTGATATCCAGATTTCCAAGGTTTTACTGAAATACAGTGAATCTATGTAGGAGTAAAATTTTGATATAAAATTTATATAAGAGTGACTAGGTATGGAAAGGTCTGTAGATTGTCAGTGCACTTAAAAAACTAGAAATTTTTTGTATAAGTATATTTCTCTAGATTTAGTGGAATAAGCCAATGAAATGGTAAGATAAATGCATGACAATGCAAATCAAAATGGTTAGGAATGTAATATTCTGTAATGTGATGATATTTTATTTTGATACTCAGGTATGAAAGAGCACAGCAGCCTCGTTGAATCATTCCCTTAAAACAATTGGAATCACTTGGTGGTTTGGCATTTATTGGTAAGCTGTATGAAAACAGTGTTTTCCCTCAAAGTTTCTGTGATTTAGATAGAAAACAAACATATTTATATTGGCTACTATTGTCTTCAAGGCATATAGACCAGCAGATAACATATGATTTGAAATAAACTGAATCTCTGTTAGTTTTAAATCCAGTACAGTATACTGATTTTTTGCTATAATTGATAAACAGATATTCTGTTTAAATGCTGTGTGTGTAAGTCGTCATACTGTGATACCTTGTAATATTAATGTTGATAGGAGGCATTTTAAGTTGGTTATTATAAGACAAGTGTTGAGATGTGTTCATTTAAAAGCATATTAAGGTGAATTATTTGAAGTCATATGGTTGAACGTTTCAATTACACTAAATTCCAACAACACTAAATTGGTTTTACTTAAAAAGTGGGCTTTGAATTAATGTAAGACCATTTTATGGTAAAAATGGATCTCAGTTATTGATATTATTTTTGTAACTTAGTGCTGACCTTGGGTGATCATACATAATCACCAAGTTCATGAGGATGAAAATGGGTTCCTGGAAATCTAAAACTTGTGACTAAAGTCTGATATTTAAATAAATTTAGAAACTAGACGAAACCTTCCCAACAACACTAGATTCCTCAAAAGTAGACACTTGGTATGTCATTACCTCCTATTAAATAGAGTTAAGGCATTAAGGTGGCCCCATTTCATGTAAGCACAAATGCTCCTCAGATATCAAGGACTCCTTTTTCAATACCAAAGTACAGTATCATTCCACCTACATGAATGTTGAAGTTGGATGCGACCGTCCTCCAGTGCTATTAGAAGCTTAATGTTACCCTTAAATTTTATGTTGAACTGTTCTTGTGTTTGACTGATGGCCACATAATCTTAGGTTTTAGTATTATCTCGACCTTTAGTTTTATCCAAATTCAGATGTCTGCCTCAAAGCTTTCAAGAAGATACTTTGGCCTGGTGTATCTGAAATAGGGATTAACAAATAACTGAAGTTTTAAACATACAATATTCTCACTTGGGGAATTATTGTCTTTCATCTTATGCTCATTAAAAGGACAAATGGGGACCTTAAAATCAGCCAAATCTAAGGGGAGTAGTCATTGCCCTGTTTTCTTGCTAAGTCTTAGTTAATCATGCAGACCACATTGCCCACTCACTATAGGCTTGCTCCAAACCTGTTATTTCCCTTATAAATTTTTTCTCTTTGATTCATGATGGTCATTGGCCGGTATACTCTTGTAAAGATTGAAAGTGTTTAATACCTTAGTTGAATGGCATTACTGGGAAAGTTGCTTTCAATCTAAAAAGGAATTTTATTATTTCAGATAAACCAGAAGGGGAAGAAATTCACTGTCTTAGATTTGGAGACTTTGCTCCATGCTTTGGATAACCTTAATAAGTGCCCTTTGAACTGGTTTAAACCTAGATTTTGTAGAGCATTTTATCTGATTTTCCATTGTATTTTAGGTGAGGGTAATCCCACTGGTTTTCTTCACAAGAGTTGACCTTCTCCCTGAGGGACATGATTGAGCACCGCTGCAAATGTCATTGTGGTATTGGATGAAATTCACCTAACTATAGAGAGAGTAGTTTTATCCATTATTCCTTCATTATTAAGTCAGAGTGAAGAAATCACTACTAATATAGCCAAGTCAAGGTTATATACACCCTTCCCTGGATAATTCTAGCATCCACGCTTCCCACCTGGCACCAGCCAAAATGATGGGCTCTTCAGGAAACCTGAACGTGCAAACTTTGGATATAATGTGTGTAGCAGCACCACCGGTCTGCCCGACTCTGTACTGAATATTCTCCAGGAAGTGGACACCTTCATCCAAAATTTTTATTTGAGTAACATAAGAAAGTAACAAGTAAATGACTGCTGTGGGTGGTAGGGGGTAGGCACACTTTAGTTTATCTTTTAAAAAACTCAATCTTACTTGTTTCTTAAATCATAATAATTATATGAATAAATTTTCATAACTACTGTATACTAATTTTAAATGCATCTTTAGTTTACAGTACAGTAGACCCTCACCAACCGCTGGATACATTTAGTGTGAGGACTAAATAAAAATAATACTAATAAATGAAATGAAAGAAAAAATACTGCATTGCCACGGGAGACAGGAGCTCACTCCTC